CCCGCGCCCGTGCCGCCGCCTGTCGCCGCTGCGCCCGCCACCGCCGCCGCCGCCGCCGCTGCCGGCCGTGCGGGCGCGGCGCGGCCGTACTCGTCGCCCTCGTCCCCCTCCACGGTCACTGCGAAGCTGAGCACCTCGATGCTGCCTTGGTGCTGCGCCTCGTTCTGCATGAGTGCGTGAACTTCCCTATACAGCCCCGGCTCCACTAGGACGGTCATGCTGCAGCCGCCGCCGGGCGCGTCTGCCTCGGCCTCAAACACGGCGCCGCGCTCCCGCAGCAGCGCGCCGAGCGCCGGCCGCGCGGCGGCGGGCGCGGACAGGCGCAGGCGCATGCGGGCGCGCTGGATTGGGAACTCGCTTTGCAGCAGCGGCAGCGCCTGCAGGGTTGTTTTGCATGTGTGCATGTGCGTGTGTCTGTGTGAGTGTGTGGGCGACGGAGTGGGTAGGGGGTGAGAGGGGACAGGCCATGAGAGGCGGCTGGGACCGTACTTGCACTCAATGCAGCGCCAGGGCTGCCATCTGCACCACCGCGGCGGGCTGACGTGAGCCGCAAGGAGGCGGGCGTGTCGCGCAGGCCGCCGCCAGGGCGGCAGAGTGCCGCATTGCGCCGGCGTTTGCCATCACGCTGGTCTCGAGCATCCGCGCCTGAAATCCCTCCCCTCAGCCAACAATCACCCCGGCCGACCCACACTCACACACGCACCTTGGCACCCAATCTGCACCCATCGCTGCCCCCGCCCCCGCCTTCCCCTCGCGCACACACACATGTAAACACACATGAAAGTGCGCGCAGACACCCCCCCCCACACACCCACACCCAACCCACACCCACACCCACACCCACACCCACACCCACACACACACTCAAGGGAGCACCCACGCATCTCACATACGCACCCACTCACCCATCCACAATCACAAGCACACATCCCGCAGCCACGCGCGTGCCCACCTCCAGGGCCTGCTGCTTTGCTGACTTTTTGGGGTCCAAATTGAAGTGCAGGTCCCGCAGTGCACGCTCCAGCATGCTGTGGGTGTAGGGCCGCCCCGTGTCAGGGTTGACAGTCTTCTCCACCAGAACCTGGGCGGCAGGTTGCGGGGCCGGTTTGGGGGGTCAGATGATTGGTGGGGAGCATATCAGCGGGCTGGGCGTCGGGGAGGCGTAGTTGTGAGGGGGGTTTGAACGGCAGGTGAGGCGCGTCAGGAGCGTCAAAACGCACGCAGCGCCTGTGTCATGGGCCTTGGGTCCCACCGAGCGGCCCGGCTGGGAGAACGGCGCCAGCGGCGGAACGGCACCAATCAAAGCTGCCGCCTCACCTGCGCCACGTCTTTGAAAAGATTGTCCAGCTCTGCTCGCCGCTCTTTGTCCGACACCTGGCATAGGGATTCAAGAGAAACGTTGGTACTGGGTGACCCTGCTTGAAAGGAAAATTTGGCTCTGCGCCAGACTTCTCGAAGCATGCACGCTTGCATGCACATCACCCACACAAGTTTGCACGGTACATGAGCGTGTGCGTGTATGCACATGCGAATGCAGCGGCCCAACCCCAGGTGGGTTTGCAGGCACTTGCCTGCACATCTCCCTTTGCGAGGATCTCGAGGCAAATCTTCTCCTCGTCTGTGGTGCCAAACGCCTCCTGCAGCCATTGAAAAATACAGTTGCAAGACGGGGCGAGGCGGTCACGCGCGGTAGGGACGCCAGCTCACCGCCACCGTGCGTGCTTGCGCGCATTGGCGGCGCCGCCTGCTGCTGACGCCTCCCCACCACCCTCCGCCACCTGCCAGCTAGTCCCCTCATAAAATCCCGCCAGGACCCGCAGCCATGCCTTGTCGCAGACCCCAGTTTACCACCGCAAGGCCAGCCCGTCACCCACGCCAGCCTTCGACCCCCACACCTGCAGCTCCTCTTTTTTAGCGTGCACCCCCTTGCCCACGTTGGCAAACACAGTGGTCGTCTGCAGCACCTCGTCGATGTCCTTCTCTCTGCCGGGTTGGGGGCGACGCTTGTGATCATGCACCTCTAGTACACAGCCATGCAACAGACGACGTGAACGTTGCGGGGCTGCTTGCGGCACCCTCCCTCTGCCCTTTGCTGTCAGCCCCAACCCGTGGGCCACCCGTCACTCTCACATGCCGGCGCGCCAGTCGTTGATCTTGTTTCGGTAGCAGGCGATCTCGAAGCGTTTTCCTGCCTTCTTCAGGCGCACCACTGCGATGTTGGTCAGCCGCTTCTGGCCTGCGGCGAGACAGGCAGGCGCGGCGGAGGGCCAGCTCCGATTCGCAGGGATCCTGGGCTGGGCAGCACAAAGTAGCACCAGCACAAATGTGGCTGTTGCGCACAAGCCCATCATGGGTTTCACAGGCATGGTGCAAAGGATGCGGCCTGCTGCGGGGCCGTGTGCTGCAGTCGCATGCTGCCGGCTGAGGGAGGCGCCCCAAGCGGGATTTGGCGCTGCGCACCAACTGGCTGCTTGACGTTGCGTGACATGACGATTGCGGTCCAGCGACTATCTTGTCCGCAGGCGCGTGCTATGAAGCGTTGATGCAATTACGGTAGCGACGACGGGGAAGCCTTGGCGAGCCAGATTATCAGTATGGCGTCTGACGATGATATACTGTACTGTGTGTTCAATCGACTACGTATATGTTTGTATCGCCAAATGAACAAGACAGTCTGATCTTGGACCTTAGCTGTCCGCTGGTGCTTCACGGGAGGCCTTTCGGACACCGGGATCTTGTTGAATACCGTAATAAGCCAGTGCTGATAGCAGCGCGCGTGAGCATGCCAGCTGGGGCGCATGACGGGCGGCGCCAGGACACCCGCGCGCTGCGCTCACCCGCGATGGCGCGCCGAGGGCATGGCCTGGGCGCGCGGTTGTGCACCCTGTGGGTGGCCTACCTGCTGCTGCTTCACCCTGCGGCGGCGCTGTACCACACGGCCAGCGAGACGCTGCACTGGTTTGCCCACACCGCCCGCAAGCTCCCTGATCGGATGCGGTGGGTGTGTAGCGGGCTGGTGGCGGCGTCTGCGAATGAAGCTGGCGCCGTCACAGGCTGGGCAGATTTGACCTGGGGTGTAATATGCTGGGGGCGGGCTGTGCGGCGGCGGGTTTGACCGCAACACGTCATCTGGATCGTGGCCGGCGTCCTGTGCACCTTGCGTTGCGTCAATGCGGTGCCTATGCCATTGCTTTCCTTGCACACCCCCTTCCCCCAAGTCACCGCTCCGCATCGCTCATATAAAGGTCTCAACTCAGCTCATTCATACGTTTCCTGCGCACTCTACAGTTATACAACCCTTACGGAGGACCCGACGCGCGCCGGCGTCCCGTTAGCAACCCTCGGCCGCCGCCCCGGCACCGCGAGCGCACCCGGCGCGCCCCCGCCGCCGCGGGTGATATTCGTGTTTGGCGAGCACTGCCGAGAGATCATAACGACGGAGGTCGGCCTGTGGCTGGCGCGCCTGCTAGTCGACGACGACAGCGGCGTGCGGCTGTGGCCGGAGCTGCACTCGGCGCTAGAGCGCGCGGGGGAGGCGCCGGCCAGCGCGGGCGCAATCGGGGCGGCGGGCGCGTGGCCGGACACGATCGACGCGTGGGCCAGCGAGGTTCTGGAGCAGCTGAGCATCCAGGTGGGCGTGAATGCCACGGCGATGGACCGCCTGTGGATTTTGTATCCACTGGTGCCAGGTGGTGCAGCGGCAAGTTTTATAGAGAGTGACGGCTGCGGCCGATCGCTCGGCTGGGGCTCCAGGCGCCGCACTCAAACAATGCGTTATGCGCGGCAACGGTCCAGTCATCACTGTTTTTCCTCGACCACTTGACCTGCTGCGTGCGATATCCAGCACGCTCTCATAATTCACAAAATCGCCCGGTCCCCGCTTGGCACAAACACAGATCGTGCCCATTGAGAGTGTAGAGGGGCGCCGCCTCGTTGAGGCAGGGCAGCTGTGCATGCGCAAGACCCCGGTCACGAACGTGGACCTGAACCGCAACTGGCCGTTCGCATGGCAGCGCGTCGCGGTGGGTGGGCCGGGGCCGCCGGGGCAGGCGGCCGGGCCGGCTGCCACACACGGGACAGGCCAGGGCGGGCCGGGGGCGTGCACGTTTGCAGGGAGTGTCGCGGCGCCTGCCCAGCGGCTTGGGGAGGGCCGCCCTGATTCCCCTCCCGCGGGCCCATGGCCCTGCCTAATATACAGCTGGCTCTTTCTTCTCTGGGCTGCCCCCTTGACGTGCGCCCCAGCCCACTGCCCCCACGCTTTTTTTGTCGAGCACGCTACTCTGCATGGTCGCACATGCATGAGCGCATGCATTGCACGCGTACGCCTCCCATTTAACACGTCAACACACAAACACGCAATCACACACACGCGCGCACACGCACGCACGCACGCATGCACGCACGCGCGCACACACACACACACACACACACACACACACACACTCAAGAGACAATATTTGCTGCGGCCCCTGCACTCCCCCTGCATCCCCAGGACCCGGCTGACGAGCAGTATGGCGGCCCCAGGCCCCTCAGCGAGCCCCAGTCGCGGCTGGTGAAGCGGCTGATCGATGAGAGCCCCGTTGCCGCCTACCTGAACGTGCACAGCGGCGAGTGGGCGCTCTACACGCCCTGGGACTCCAAGCCGGCCTATGGGTCTGGCCTGCCGGTATGCAGGGATCATGTGTGCTGCTTGGTGTGTATGTGTGTGTGTGTGTGTGTGTGAATGTGTGTGTGAATGTGTGTGTGCGTGTGTGTGTATGTGTGCGCGCGCGTGTGTGTGTGTGTGTGTTTGTGTGTGTGTGTGTGTGTGTGTGTGTGTGTGTGTGCGCGCGCGTGTGCGCACGCGCTTGCACACACGCGTGCTGTTGTGCATGCACGTGCGTCCCCTTTCACCCTCCCTTCCACCACGCCATCTGTCCTCACACCCCGATCATCCACACCACCCCCCCCCCTTCCCCCCTTGGGGCCCGTCCCAGCCGGACCTGCCAGGCCTGGTGGCAAAGCTGGGGGACGTCTGCCGCTGCATGGCGGGGCCCGCAGGGGCAGTCTCGGGGTACCTGGCGTTTGGCTCGTCGATGGACTAGTGAGCGCGGGCACCATTGCAGGGCGCCGGGCCAGCGGGCGCGCGTGTGTGCGTGGGGAGCCGGGCCAGCGAGCGCAGGCGCACCAGGCCCGTGGACCGCGCACGGCGGAAGGCTGGCGCGGCCCGAGGTGCTCGCCAGACCATCGTGGCGCGCGTCCTCCTGCTCGCCCTGCCCCGCAGCGCCTACGTCAACTCGAAGACGCCGTACCCGCTTACCGTCGAGGTGCGCGTGGCGCGGGCCGCCTGCCGCCGGCCGCTGGCCGCTGGCCGTGGGAGCCATGCCCGAGCTGAGGGCCAGCCCTGGCGCGGCGGGGCGATGTCGTTCGGGCGCGCCACACGCGGGTGCATCCCGCGGTGCAGACGCCTCAGGTGTCGCGCCCCTGCCGCTGTTGCCTTGACAGGTCTATGGCTCGAACCAACAGGGCAAGCTCAAGAACGGTGCGCGGGGTGCTGGCTGGGCGGCTGAGCGCGCGTGAACACCGCTGTTTGCGTGCGTCAACCCAATTTGGTGCTGCTGCTGATATGCTGGCATCACTTTCCATCGTCAGGCGCCAAGAACAAGCCCCTTGGATCATTCCCAATTGTGTACGTCAAGCCAGAGGCAATCGCGAATTCCAGCAGCGGCAGTAGCAGCAGCAGTGGAAGCAGCAACACCTCCTCCAAGGTAGGTGCTGCCAGCGCAAAGCTGGCGCAGGGAGTTGTTGGCGCAGGCCGGCGGCTGCAGGCTGTGGAGCGGGCGGCGGGCGACCCGGCTGTGGGGGCGGCCGGGCTGCGGTTGGCGGTGACTGTGCCAATGCAGCGGCGGCGGCAGCGGCAGCTGCAGCAGCCGCAGCCGCAGCCCCAGGAGCAGCGGCATCGATCGTGGGACCAGCAGCAGCAGCAGCAACAGCAGCAGCAGCAGCCGCAGCAGCACCAGCGGCAGCAGCAGCAGCAGAAGCAGTGGACAGTGTCGCGCCGGCTTTTAGGGCGTAGGCCGCACAACCAGACGGACGACATCATGGCCGCTTATTTGAGGGCCCCACAGGTGCTTGATGCATAGGCCCCGATGCCAGCTTGAGGCTCCAACATGCTGGCTGCTGCTTGGCATGGGGCCACTCTACCTGCGTGTCCTCAGCTATGGCACGCTTCATTGTGCTGAACGGGTTTGGGGCGAAGCAGGCTGTTCCACCCCGTGGCAACCCCTGAGGAGGGTTGAATTTTCCTAGGGCCACCATTTGTAGCACCTAGTTTGTTTGAAAGCGTCCCCACAGCCACCAACCCTACCTTCCGGCGCAACCGCGCAGGAGCTGCGGCAATGCTTTGAGATCTTCAACCCAGTGGACGAGGCGACCTACCGCGAGGTTGTGGGCGACTGGCTGGCCGCCTTCCTGATCGTTCTGCGCCACGTGGCCAAGCACGTGGCACCTGGATCGGCCCGGCAGTTGGGCTAGGCCGCAGGTCGGCTTTCCTTTTTGCAACCGCTTACCGACCGTTGCCGTTTGCAATCAGACCAATGTCACCTGTAGGCCGAGCGACTGCGGAAAGGGTTCTTGGGCGGTGGTTTTTTGCAACAGGCGACAGCTGCGTAGCTGGCCGGTGCAATCAGCAAGGACGTGAGAGCACGCAAACCTGTGGAATACGCTGAAGCAGGGTGCACGCGGGCGCGGTGCTTGCGAGACCTGTGATGATACTGATCGCACGTGTCTGCTGCATGGGCTTAGCAAGTGTCACCACATGCTGCTGTGGACGGTTGCAAGCGGGCCGGGCCTCCTGCTTGGAGACAAGCTTTGATGGAGGCGCGAGCGCCTGTATGCCCCATTCCAGACAGACACAGGTGAAAGATACTCGTGTAGAAACCAAATGCTGCGGCCCTCACGACGCAACCGCAGCAACCGCTTGGGGCGGGCAGGAGAGGCAGCCTCGAAACGTGCACCAGCGCCGTGGTCGCGCGACAGCAGGGCGTATGGCACGCCTCCTGTGCGGCCCGCATCGAGATCGCGTAAAGAATCATATTTGGTAGTGTTTCGGCGCGTCAACTGCGTGAGCGAGGCTGATTCGCGGGGAAGAAGCGAAGGATCACCGAATCACACTTCAGGTCAAATAGGAGCGCGCCTCACTAGGCCTGCACATCTAAGTCTGACATTGATGTTACACACGAGCTTATTTGCGTATCACCAAGCCCAGAGGCGTCTCCCCGCAGCACGTCAGCAATTGGAAGGGGACAGCACCCTAGTCCGGGCGCAGTAGCAAAGTAGGCAGAGGATGCGTGGGCATGGCATCTCATTGGGAGGCAGCGGACGCGGAGCCCTCCGGTTGGTGCTGCGGAGCCAGAAGGCCCTGAAGTCTCCACGAGGCATGCAGGCCTTGAAAACCTGCCAGACAGCATTCGGGTTTGCATTTGGAGGTGCGTTACATCACGTTTCGGCTGCTGCAGGCGGCAGTGGGGGGGCCTGGCGGAAACCCTCGGCAGGCGCCGGCAGCGCGGCTGCGCGCAGCGTGGATGTGCGAGGCGGCTGCTGCCACGGGCCCTGCGCTTCTTTCCGTCCGGCATGGTGCTGACCTTGTGTAATTGCATCACCATGGCTTGCCCTTGCATCCATCGAGCGCCCCCTAATGCTGGCGCCAACCACCTGTCTGCGCGGCGCTGACCCCTGGATTCCTGGCTGCAGGCAGCTGCGGCTGCCGCCGCCTCCGCCCCCAGCACCCTACGATTCCCGCCGAATTCCTCATCCTCATCCCCACAAACAAACAGATTTCCTGACCCAGTATTTCAACCGCGACAAGCGGCAGCCGTACAGGCACGACTTCCGGAAGACCGCTGCAATGGCAGCTGCCGGCGCGGCAGTGGCGGCGCCCGTGGGAATAGGGATGTACGCATGGATGGACGCCGCCTGGCCGTCTTCCGCCGCAGCAGTCGCGGCCGGCAAGTTCACGCTCGATCAGATTGTGGGCTGCGCGATCTGGCAGGTGCGACGGCGGGGCAGCCGGTGCGGAACAGTGGCGGCCGCCGTGGTCTGCGCGCGACGGCGGCAGTCAGCGCCGGGGCCCCTGGGTGAAACGCAGTGAGGGCGATCAGGCTGCGCTGCCGGCCACATTGACGTCGTCCTGGAGGCCGCCAGGTGTTCCAAGGGCACAGCCGAGCGCCCGCCCTGCGCCCAGTCGCTCCCCGCGCTCTCGGCTCGGCGCCGGGCGCCTTCACGGCACCTGCCTTTCCCTGGCCCTGACAAAGATATAAATGGCTCCCCCTCCATGGCCCTCAACCCCACTTTGCACAGGCTGCCTACTGCTCGCTGCCGGGCAACGAATGGTACCGGGACATGCTCACGGGCGCCGCCCGCTCGGCCGCCGGCGGTGTCGACGGCGGCGTGCGCGACGCGGTGGCCTACGCCGCCGCAATGAGCCAGATGGTGCTGCCGGCGCCGGCAACATGCTGACTCTGCCGCCGCGCCGCGGGCGCGTGCGCGCGCGCGGGCGCCGCTTGAGCTCCCCGCAGCGGCGGCGGGGCCGCACGGCTTGGCGTGGCGGCCGCGCGCCGCCGCGGGCGGCAATTTTTTCCCTGGGCGTGCCCGGGAGGCCCGGCGGGCCGGCGCGGAGGGGTCGCGGCGGGCTTCGGGGTGGGGCACGGCTGCCGCCTCATGCGCCGGCAATGTGCCTGGGGTGGCGGGGCCCAGCCCCCTGTCCGGTCCCAGCCCCCTTCACGCTTCGCGCCGCGGCGGCCCTGCCGCGCCGCACTTGTACCCAATCAACCGCTTTACCCCTGATCCTATTCGACGATCCAGGGGCGGCGGCCCCAACACAACACTTCAGAGAACAGCAACCTTGTGGCTGCCAGAGCGGCGCGCCCGCCGCGCCTCGTGACAGCGCCGCGCGCATGCCGATGCCGGCTGGGCGCACGCGCGCCGCCGGGCTTATGGCGGACGCGGCGGTGGCGACTAGGGGACTGCGCCGCGGCCTGCCCCGGGCCCATCGGGGCAGCCCCGGCCACCCTGCCCCTTTCGCTGCCGCCAATCGGCGCGGCGCCGGCCGGCCGGCACATGCTTCGCGCGACGCGCCGCCGTTTTGCGCCGCGCGGGGGCCGCCTCGGGCACCCGTGCGGAGGGTGGCGCGCGGCGGGCGCGCCCGCGTGTCCCTGCCTGCCCCGGCGAGACTTGCCGCGGGGCCCTGATTGATGCGCCGGTTGGCGCTGGGGCGGGGGGTTCTATACTGTTTAGAGAGTTAGAGCGGGGTGGAGAGCACTTGCACAGATATAGCCAGGGGGCGGCGCGGCGCGAGCCCCGGCGCCCCCACAGCACTTGCACACACCAGGGCGTCGGGCGCGGGGCGCGCGGCTGCGCCTCGTCGCCGCCCCGTGCCGCCGCAGCAGAGCGCCGAGGCGAGGCGCCGCCGCAGGCCGAGCGGGGTCCGGCGCCTCGAATTTTGACAAGGCGCGCGGCGTGAGACATATGCCACAAAACACGCACGCACACTCGCACACACGAACACCACAGAAGCACGCAGCAGCCAGCGCGGCGCGGGCGCGGCCCGTGCGCGTAGAGGGCGGTGCAGCCGTGGCGACCAATATTCTGTCGATGTCCCTTTCCTGCGCCAACCGGACAGCCTGTGTAGCCCCGGCTGCGACCACGGCCCCGCGCCCCTGATAGCGCGCGTGCCTCCCTTGCCGCCCCTCCGCACGCCACGTGCGTGCCGGCGAGCGCGGACCCTGACACGCCGCCTTCGGCAGGCCCGGCCATTTTCAGTTTCTTCTAGGCAGACAGCCCTCGGCCGACGCTCGGCCGCATTTTTGCAGTGCGCCGCGGCTTTAGTCACAGAACAGCACCCCGCCCATCTTCATGCTTTGCCCGGGCCCCTCGCCGCGCGTAGCGGCGAGCGGGCCAACACCCTCTTGCATGCCCATGGCTGGGAGCCCGGCCCCGAGCGTGGTCGCCGCACGCTCCCGCCTGCAGCGGACGCCCGTGCAGGCTGCGCTCAGACCGCCGGGCCGCGCGCGCCGCGCGGGCGCCTGGGCGCGAGCCCGTACCACTACCGATGCCTGCAGCTCGGCTTGCCCGACAGCCCTTGCTGCAGCTGCGCCGCCGCTGCGGCCGTGCGCACCTCCTCCTTTCGTCCCTCCCCCGCCCCGGCCGGGCTTCCCTCCAAATTCACTCGATTAGTGCAAGGGGCCCGGCCGCACGCCGGCGGCCGGACTTTGTGAGCGGGACGCCCCCAATGCGGCGGCGCCCCCGCGTTGCCGCCCGCCTGGGCCGCACCTCGGGGTCGCTCGCTGGCTGGATTTTTGCGCATGCGCCTCAGGGCAGCGCCATATGACGCGCGGCCCGGTGGGCCGCCCTCTTTTCGATTATCTCCAGCCCCCTGCGGCCCCTTTTTGGTGTGCTCGGCCACCACCCTGCCTGACCGCGTGTAATCTCATTGCACGCCCCTGTTGGGAGTGATGGAGGGAGGGGGGTGCATATGGCAAAGACTACGGCCATGTTGGATATGCTGACAGCTCATAACGCTTCTCGCAGTTCAGTGGTACCTGGTGTTGTTGTCATGTCGCATGCAGGCAAAAGCAGCCGTCGGGCTTGTGTGTGTGTGTGTGTGTGTGTGTGCGCGCGTGCATGCGTGCGTTTGTGTGTGGGGGGGGTTGTGTTTGTGTGTGTGTGTGTGTGTGTGTGTGTGTGTGTGTGTGTGTGTGTGTGTGCAGCAGCTGCTACATCTGGGCAGCAGAGGCTGGTGCTGCCCTTGCACGCACAAGGTATCATCCAGATGGCCAGTGCCCTAAACATACCACAATGAGACCTGCATGCAATCGCCCACATGTAATCAGAATGCTGACGCGTACACGTGAATGGCACAGATATATGTTACAGGTCTGCCCGGCCATGCCGGCCAGGAGGTGACATCACAATGACAACAGTTGCCGACAGCCTAGAGCCGCAGGCAGCGTGGCACGGCCGCAAGACATGCATGCGCGCTGCCGGCAGCCGCCCGAGGCGGCGCAGCAAGCTAGACATAAGTGCATCAGGAGAGGCTTGCCGCGGCAGCTGCCGAGCAGTTACCTTGGGGCCGCCATGCAGGCAAAGGCAGGTGGGTAAGCTACACAACGGGACGGCTCTGGGGGGTGAAGTGTACGCCTAGTGTACGGCTTTGAGGCGGGGCCGCGCGGGGCGCCTGGTGGCGGACCGGCGGTCGGCGGCGCACCCACGAGTGCTGATGGTACGGCGTGGCGCGTGCAGCAGCAGCGGAGGGCCTAGGGCTGGGGCGCGGTGCAACGGCAAATACAAGGGGGTTGGGATGTACAACGGGCACGCGGCTCGAAGAGCAGCGGCATGAGGAGAGGCCCCGCGGCGAGGAGGCGGTGGGTGCTCTCCTGTTTGGGGGCGCAGCTTCAACACAGCTTGCTGGTGGCCGGAAAACGCGCGCGTGCCTGATGGATATGGCTACAACTGGGTGCGGAAACGGCCGGGCGCGACTGGTGGCGCCTGCGGCGCACAAAGGGCCGCGGCAGCCGCTCGCTTTGGGAGAGCGGTGCGCGGAAAGGGTGGCGCAGGTGCAAAGGCGCCGGGCCTGGCGAGCACGGGCTGAGGAATGGGAGCCCAAGCGCCCGGTCCCTTGAAAACTGCTTCTGCGCCTTGTGGAAATTGATATCTTCAAACGGCTGGTGTCAGGCCGTTCCAGGGCGACACCCCCGGTGAACCACACTGAACGGAACGGCGTCGCCTTGCCGGCCGGCGCGGGCGTTAAGAGGTTACTGCTGCCTTGACTGCTGCCCCCGCGGCCCACGCTGCCGCGACTTCCGGCTGCGCAGGTCGCGCGTGGGAGCGTTGATCCATGTGTTTGCCGTATATAAGTCTGTGTCGGGGAAGGGCGGGAGCGGGGGCGCCGCCGACGTCCCTGGTGCAGCGGCGCCAGCGCCGGCGGCGGCCTTCTGAGTGGTGCTGGCGCTCGCGCCCTCTGCCGCGGCCGCCGCCTCCGTGTCCCACATCCCCAGCGCCGCCGCGAGCGCGGCGTCTGCAGCCGCCTCGGCCCCGCTGTCCTCGTCCTCGGCGGCTCGCGCGGCCGCCGCGGCTCGCGCCGCCTCGTTTGCTG